GGTTTAATAATATATTTTTTTATAAGGATAATAATTAAATATTTTGTTAGAACTCAATGATTATCTTAACTATATTTTATATTTTTTATATTTTAAAATGAGATGTTTATCCTCTATTTGATTATGTTTATCCGCAGTTAGTTACACGAATTCAAACATAAAGCTTTAATAAGTTGTACTTATGCATAAATTACTTGTAATCTTGAATTTTAAGTAATATGCATCAATAAACAATACTTAATGCATAAAAAATTATTTTTAAGAGTTTTTGTCAATTACTTTATAATATAGTATAAATTTTCCTAAATCTAAGTTATATTAATTTATAATCAACAAATTATATTAAAAACCCAATATTTTGTTTTATTTAATTTAATATATATTAATATATTTTAGTCGGTTTTTAATAATTTCATTCATAAATATATTCTTAGTAACTAGAAGGATACTCGTGCAATGCAACGAGGTATATGTCGATTTTAATGTTTCGTTTTTTTTTTGTTTTTGTAGATGTTATAATACAGTTTTTACGTGTTTTTAAGAAAGAAATAATGCTTTTATTTTTAAATAAAATATAAATTTAAAAATATCATAAAATTTCGAAAATAAATCAATCAACATTAGTATCAAATTAACTATTTAAAAGTTCTTTTTTTTTGTGTAAGTCCTTTAATTCAGTTTGTTTATTATAATTTAATTTAAATTTACTAATGAAATAATTTATTTTTGATTTAATAATATGAGAAGGGTACTCGCACAATGCAGCGAGATACGTCTCGATTTTAGTGTTTCATTTTTTTCTTAGTCGATATTATAATACGATTTTATGTGGTTTTGAGATAACGATAATGTTTTTATTTAGAAGTCAATGATTATCCTAATTATATTTTAGATTTTTTATATTTAAAATGAAATGTTTATCTTGTATTTTTTTTACTATGTTTATCTGCAGTTAGTTACACGAATTCAAACATGAAGCTTTAATAGGTCATACTTACGTATAATTTATTTGTAGTCTTGAATTTTAAATAATATGAATCAATAAACAGTACTTCATGCATAAATAATGGTTTTTAAGAATTTTTGTCAAATGTTTTTTAATATAGTATAGATATACTTACCATCTATATCTATACTATATTATAAAGCATTGGGTTCAATCTCTTAACAACAACTTTTAAAGCATTCTGTACTAATATCTAATGCTAAATTACTTAATTTACAAATTTACAAATTCTCAATACTTTGGTACAACCTACTAAACATTATCTTCTCATCCCTAATTTATCGACTTCCAACATAACCTCAGATTTATCAACTTCACTCATACCCTTCTATTAGTCGATTGCTTCATCCATATCCTTTCGTCTATCTATTTCAATAGATTTAGATAACCTCCATTAGGCGAAATGTTTCATCCATATCCTTCTATCGATTTCAGCAGGTTTAGATAACCTCTATCGGGCAACAATTCAACAGATTTAGACGGATATACATATCGTTTTTCATTTCTATCACATCATCTACTCATATATATTCGAAACAGGTTATTCAGGATACAAGCAGATTCCAAACTTCCAAGGTTAGTTTTCTTCAATCTTTTGTTTTTGTTTTCGATTTCCATTATTTACACTATACGTGTTATCTACGATCTTTTATTTATTTTTTATTCAACGAGAGTCAACATCTTTCAAGGTTCGTTTCCTTGTTTTTTTAATCTTTTGTTTGTTATTCAAGATTTAATTTCTAGGGTATAATTTTTATGATGAAACGTATGCATCAATGAAAAAAATGTTATTCTTGATTCCAAACATAATTATCAGGGGTTAGTACCGATATGACACTAGAACCCAAACATTTCATCTATTCTATTGGTTCATCTGTCAATGCTACTTTGCCACATGCTACTTCCTTCGTAAGTACAATTTATTAAAACTTCATGTTTGAATTTGTGTAACTAACAACAGATACCCATATTCGTAATAGAATAAACATCTCATTTTAGATATAAAAAAATTTAAAATATAATTAGGATAATCATTCTAACAGAATACTTAAGTATTATCTTTATAAAAAATTATATTATTAAACCAAAAATAAGTTACTTCTTTATCAAATCTAAATTAAGTTATAGTAGAAGACATTGAATTAAAAGAATTACATAAAAAAAGATAACCTTTAAATAGTTAATTTGATACAATATTCTTTTTCAAAGTTTTATGATATTATTAAATTTATATTTTATTAAAAAACATTATTATATTCTTAAGACCACATAAAACCGTATTATGACATTGATAGAGACAAACAATAAAATGAAACATTAAAATCAAGATGTATCTCGCTGCATCTTACAAATATTCTTCTAATATACTAGAAGGGTACTCGCGCAATGCAGTGAGATAAATCTCCATTTTAATGTTTTGTTTTTATTCTTCTCCATCAATATAATACGATTTTATGTAGTTTTGAGAAAACGATAATGCTTTTATTTTTTATTGAAATATAAATTTGAAGATAGCATAAAAATTTGAAAAAAAATAAATCGATATTAGTATCAAATTAACTATTTAATAATTTTCGTTTTTTTGGTGTAACTTATTTAATTTAATTTTTTATTATACATTAATTTAGATTTAATAACAAAGTAATTTGTTTTTGATTTAATAATATAATTTTTTATAAACATAATAATTAAAAACTTTGTTAAAACTCAATTATTATCTTAATTATAATTTAGGTTTTCTATATTTAAAATGAATGTTTATCTTGTATTTGATTAGGTTTATCTGCAGTTAGTTACACGAATTTAAAAATAAAGCTTTAATAAGTTGTACTTATGTAAAATTACTTGTAATATTGAATTTTAAGTAATATGCATCAATAAACAGTAATCATACATAAAAAAATGATTTTTAAGAGTTTTTGTCAAATATTTTATAATATAGTATAAATATATAAAACATATGTAATATGTATATCTAAATAAAATAATAGAGTAAGTTTGTTGGTATGAAAAGACAAAAGGACAAAACATGAGAAAAAGAAGAACACATTTAATATTAAAATATAAAAAAGGATGGAAAGACAAATTTACCCTCACTTCACGGATGTTAATCAAGTTTGTTTTAGGGATAACCGCAGGGACTATATCAACAATTAATCAAGTTTTGGGACGTTAGTCATAACTTCGATATAATAAAGGGACCAAATCTATAATTCATCAGAGATTATGTGGCTGTTTGATAATTGCTAAATGGTTTGATGTATAATGATTAAATTGTTAAAATGATTAAGAAACTTTTATGATATAATACAAAATGAAATATAATTGTTTTATAATTATATACAATAAAATTAGAGCTCTTAATGATTAAAGGAAGATACATGATACAAAATTATTAAGAGACAAATTTTTTTTTTACCGAATAAAATTTATATATTAACGACTTAGATATTGTCTTTTAATGAAATTATTAAGAAATAAACAATCATGCGAGATGGAGCAAGAAATCATGGATATTTCAATAAAAAAATCATAAAGATAGATAATGGCGTGTGAAAAGCCATTTTGTTGTTTTTAAGATATCCGTTATCCATTCTCCCTCTTCGTCCCTGCTGGTTTATGCTGGTCCCATCCTTTCTAAACAGCCATTTTCCAGCTTAACAGGAGAGGAAAGTTATCAGATAAACCCCTAACGCCACACACAAACACGCACACACACACACACAAAGAGAATAATAATCGCGACAGGTTATACTCGTCGAATTTCACATTACAATACATTTCTTTACCTCATTTCAGCTTTCAAGCTCCAATCTTTTCTGGGCATTTAGGGTTTTTTCGGCTCTGGTAAGTTCTCAACAGATTATCGTTGGATTATAGAGTCTGTGGATGAGAAAAAAGATGCAAAATTGAGTAAAATCAGGTAATTCGTTTCTGGGTTTTGAATGGTTTCTTTCAATTGCGTCTATAGAGCCTTAAGTTAGTTTTATATGAGGTTGAAAGATGTTGGGTTATGGTATACATGTCCTTAATGAGCACTTCAATGGTCTTGTGTTATAACAACCTATTGTTTTCTAAGCAAAGAGGAGGGAGTCGCAAACGATTGTATTTGGGTAGCCTAGTTCACGTGGGTGGTGAAGGAAGAAGGGGAATCAGAAGGTTAGTTCCCAATGCCAAGAAAAAACACAATCGAAATCGGAGTTGGTGGCAGAAATTCTTCTTTGATGAGGATGGCAATTGGTTTGGTTTAAAAGATGATGAGATGCTTGAGGCTGAGGAGTCTGTGAAAAACACCAGTGATGATGAAGGGTTATCTGAGGATGAGAAATTCGAAGCCTGGAAGAGGAGAGCGGAGGCGATTGTCGAATTGAGGGAAGCACAAGATGGGGTGCAAAACGAAGAGCAAAGGAGGTGGGAAGATTGGCTTATGGACGGCACAAATGGCGATGGTGGTAGTAGTAGTAGTAGTAGTAGTAGTAATGGTTCATCATGGTTCCAAGAACGGCGTGATGAAGATGTTCCAGAAGATCTAAGTGATCTTATCCCTGGAAAAGGCTTAGCGGAATCTGTGAGGGATATGGTGTTAGGAAGGGATGATGATGAGTTATTGTATGAAGATCGTGTTTTCCGCTATGCCTCCTTGAATTCAGTAAGTACATTCATTGGCGTCACGATATGATTACTTATCTCTCATTGTGATTTTAATGGTATATTGTGGCATCCATTGACGATAAAATATATTGTGATCTCTGTGTAATTAAGTACTTGTATTCTGTATGCCATTGCCAGCTAAAACCATAACCATCCTTTTGCAGGCGAAATTTTTGGCAGTGTTGATAATTGTACCGTGGGCGTTGGATTTTTTGGTCCATGATTATGTTCTTATGCCTTTTCTTGATAGGTAACCACGTAACTCCTAATTTATGTATTTGCTACTCCTTTTTCGCTCCAGAAAAGAGGTGCCATTTGATGATGTTTGTCATAAACCTTTCATAAACGAACATCCACATCATCAAATGTTACAAGATCAACGGGTTACCAGTCAAAATGGATACGGAATAGGAAAGTTTGAAACTTCGTTACATTGGAAAAAACTACTCGTTACACTAAATAGGAACTAAACCAAACGTTGTTGCATTTTGTGCTTTTTTTAACTTCAAATGGATACAATTTCTTCAAATTGAACTCTAAAAGCAAGTCCATTTGACCTCACAAGTCTGTACTGTTGGACTGATGGAGTTGTATGCATATCCAAAGGGAACAACACTTTTCCTCTATCTCATTAAACTGGCCGTAAGTCGCATTGTGTTGTGGATAACTCGTCGTACAGCTCCTTATAAGCCTCGGGTTGTGGGCTACTGATAACTTCCACCATGGTTTTAAGTTGATTTGGAGGTTATTGGGTCCCCCGGAGATTTACTTGATGTTATTTGACGAATTTATGTCGTAAAGTCATTAAACTGATTTAAAACAGGTATGTCAAGACTGTACCGCTTGCAGCAGAGATCCTTGATGTACGAAAGCATCAAAAGCTCGAGATGGTCAAGGAGTTAAAAACTGAAAAAGAGAGATACAAATTTGAGGTAGAGATTGGGAAATCCCCACCGATTTCTGAAGACGAGCTTTATTTAGAATTACGGCACAAAGCGTAAGTTCATTGATTCTGCAGCGTAATTTTTATGTGTGAATTCTTTACCTTTTTCGTTTCAATATTACATATTTGCTCATTATATCATTACAAGTAGATTGGTGGAATTGATTTGGATCGACGAGATTATTTTGTTGTAACAGGTTAGAATTGAGAGATGAATGGAGATTAGTAAACCGTGCCGCATTTGCTAATATATGGTCGGATATGGTATTCGGAATCTCGTTATTTGTTCTTTTGTACTTCAACCAAAATCAGGTGTGTTTTCTTTGGCCCTCTTCCTATTGAACATTTTACATTATTGGAATACACTCAATGGTTTGACTCATGAAAACAATCTAAAAATGCAAGTGCACTCTGCTTCTTGGAAACAACCACTCTGTCTCTTGAGACAGAGGAAAGGTCTGCGTACATCTTACCCTTCAGGCCCTACCTCTGTGTGGGATATACTGTGTCAGTTTGGTTTGGTTTGGTTTCGTTTTTTGGTGGATAAGAAAACGCCTTCAGAAGTCGCACAAACATGTGTGTGCTTACAATGGAACATTGGTTGGTGGTTCTTCACATCATTATTCTACGCTCAAAAGGTCGCACAGGGTTCGAGTCACGAAAACAAGCCCTTTCCAGAACGCAAAGGTAAGGCTGCATGCAAAGACTAATCTTCCCAACCCTCACAAAGCCGGTGCACTCCATTCAAGCATTTAGAATATTTTTCCGATGCTACACAAGCTAAAGTCACCTCTACGCTTCGGCCCCGGGGGAAGTTTTAGAGAGATGGAGAGAGCCAGCACCTGAGGGTTGAGGCATTAAGGTCTCGGAGGGGTAGGATGTCCTTTGCACCGAGGGGCGAGGGGCAGAGATACATGATATAATATTTGCTTTGGATATTGATAATTATTTGCTTTGCAAATCCTTTTGCAGGTAGCTTTGCTGAAATTTACAGGGTATAAGATAATAAACAACATTTCAGACACCGGGAAGGCATTCTTAATCATACTTATCACGGACATTTTTCTCGGGTAATTGGCCTTCTCTGTATTACCTCTGTCGAGAAATTCCTTTTGACTTTAAAGTCAACAAAGAATCATTTTCTGGTTGAATGTTTGGTAGCACGCTATATTGACGAGTGTCAGGCTCCATTCGTTTCGCCGTTTTAACTAATTCGTGTAAGTAGAAATGAGAATGTGGTTAAGGGTGCGGTGATAGGACCCATGAGTGGAAATTGGCAAACAAGAGGGTCATTGGTCCATTAATATCCGGATTAGTTGTAGAGCCCAAACTCCATGGAGGTCAGGGGTTCAAACCTCACCGAGTGAGGAATGTGTATGAGTTTTTGTCGTATATAAATGAAAAAAAGTGGAAAATGGCTAGAAATTGCGCTTTTAAACATGGGAACATCGTCGTTCTGAATTTGCAGGTATCATTCAGAATCGGGATGGCAGACCTTGTTAGAAATAATTGTGGAACATTATGGTTTTGACGTCGATCAATCTGCCATCATCATATTCGTCTGCCTCATTCCAGTGATCATCGATGCATGCGTTAAGCTCTGGGTATGTTCTTCATTCAAACACTTGCAACTGATTATTTGAAAAATTAAAGATCATGAAACAACTCTACTCGTTGTGGTAGATGACAGGTCTCACTACCAAATTGAGTTTATAGAACGCCAAAAATGTCTAAATTTTACAAGACTTGGTTAGCTTTTTTATAGAACCAAACAATTGTAAAAGTGTTACAATAAGTTCATATGAAGCTTTTGGGTGTTTTAACGAATTTTTTAGGACACTTTTTTAACTAAAGTGTCTTATTAGCTTTTTTATAAGACACTTTTGAGAAGTGTCCTATGAACACTTTTTCAAATAATGTCATAAAATAATTAATAGGACACTAAAGAACTTATCAAGACGGTCCAAAAGGGTCCTATGAACTTATTATAACACTTTTACATAGGACATACAACTGCTCGGTCCTATTAATTTAAGTCCTTTAAAACAGTCTAACAAGACATTTAGACATTTTTGGTATCCTATAAACCCAATTTTCTTGTAGCGTCTGCCTACAACCCATCCTTCCCAAACCCTAATTTTGAAACGGACACAGTGTGTTTTTGGTTTATAGTATAAAGGCAACAAATACGTTTTTGAACCTCTGAATTGATATTTGACGAATATTTAGGCATACATCTTGTGCTTTATGATTCAGATGTTCAAATTTCTTCCAAGATTATCGCCGAAGGTGTCGAATATTTTCCAAGAAATGAAGAGGCATTAGAGAGAGAGAGAGAGAATTCTGGGATTTCCCCTTTTACATTCTTACAACATGAACCATATGTATACTTGATTTTTCAATTGGTTATGATTTATTCGAACGGTCGTAGTGGTAAAGAGGTGGGAATCTTAAGTGAGGTCTCGAGTTTGAATTCGAGCATCATCCACTTGCTTTCGAGACATTGCGATTTTCCTTCTCTGTGATGGCTGTGGGACCGATGCAGTGGTTACGTTTCAGAGCGGGTTGTATCCCCATTATTTGGATTTCAACACCATGAACTTTATATATGTTCATTTTCATTTGATGTGACTGTAAAATAAATGAATACTTGAAACTTTGGTATCATTCAGAATTTGAATACAATAAAGAAGATATTGTTTACAATTCAAGATGTTTATGTCAATAGATATCCATATGAAACATTTATTTAGTCTTTTTGTCTTGATATGCATATGGATTAAGAAATCACCTAGTGCATCTTAATAAAAGGATCGTGTGAGAATAAGAGTTAATGACATTGAACTAGGGTTTAAGCAAATAGAAGCTAAAATCACCAACATAACAATCTCAAGCCTAATTATATCAGATCTTACCGTTCAACAAATGTTGGATAAAAAACTAAGTACCTAAAGAGACGATAAGTTACCTAATGAATATGGAATAGTAAAGCCTAATTGAACCCAAGTCTTCACCTTGCTCTCTTTTTCTATCCAAAATCGTCCGGTGTTTGATCCTCTAAACGAAAGGTTTGTGCAACCTTTTAAATGAACCCAATGAAAAAACTGCCCCAAAATTTGAAATTCACGAGCTTGGTCCCTGAATTCTTCTAGGGTCGCGTGGCAAGGTCATACCTCCTAAAACCTCTCTAGGTCGTAGGCGACCTTAGTCTATGCTCCCAAACTCACTTCCAAGGCGCATCTTGACCGTGTCCTAATCATAAAGAGTTATGCGACCCTGTGCACGAACCAGGGTGTGTGCATATTCACCTTACGACGCACCGACAAAGGGTTACACGACCCTATGTGCGACCTTGGACGCAGTCCAGATCGCGTATAACAAGTAGTCTTTAGCTTGAAAAACTTGTTTGTTTTGGTTATGTAACAACTACGGAATGGCTACTTATGTTTTTTAGTAATGAATGGATTTTGCATTTTTGGGTGATTTTGTTATGTCTTTTCCTTATGTTTAATTTGTTTTGATTATTTTCTTTTATTGTTTGGTATCTTCTTTGTATGAATAGGAGATCCATGATCTATAATGATAAGCATAAACTTTTGGCCTACAATTTTACATGGTATCAGAGCCATCATTATGACTCCATGACTTACAGTAATAAGTCGCCTCCTCCTCCTCCTCCTGTCAAGCCAAACTCGTCGTATTATCATGGTCCTCAAGATAAACCCGACAATTATATAACTCGTGTCAAACTTCCAAAATACAACTTCGATGCATGGGCTACTTCATTTGAATGGCCTTGATTGCACGACTAAATACACTTTTCTTAATGGGACGATTACTACGTCGGAATCACTTCGCACCAAGGATGATTGGTTGATTTTGCCTTCGATGTTGGTGTCTTGGATCATGAATACTATTTATCCTTAAGGTAAAATCTCTTCTTCCAAACTATAAAAATTGGAAAATTAAAACTCCTTGACGATGAATTTAACAATTATGAACCCATCTTGGGTTGCTCGATGGAAAGTGTCCATGCAATTTGTTAGAAACCTTAACAGAGATAACTAACATTTAACATAAAATAAACGAGAGTGACATAAATAACTGATGCTGTGTTAGAGACAATTCCCTTTGTTGGTGATTTTAGTGTCATCTAGCCATTTGGTGTAGTCAAGATTAATTTGAGACAAAATGAGTTTAGTATTGGCTATAATTCGAGTTCGGAGGTGTGGAGCGCACACTCAGATAAGCTAATATGAACTCGGGAATACGGGGTCAAAGGAATGTTGAACCATTGCATCATTTATTTCCAAGTGAAATGAATCGTCACATCTTTTCCTAACAGATGCGACTTTTCCCAACATATGCAACTTTTCCCTCCTTAATTAACTAACACCTTTTAGTTAGTTAACCGAATTAACTAACACCTTTTGGTTAGTTAACCGAATTAACTACCTTTTGGTTAGTTAACTGAATTAACTAACACCTTTTCGAAAAGATGTGTCTTTTGGTATTCTATATATATCATGTTCCATATTTGCTAAAGACATACGGAAAACATACATTGGTTTTTCTCTGTCAAATTTGTCTCTACAAACATAATCTATAACAAGGTATTATGTGTTTTACTAATCTTGGATTTTCCTGAAATCCGGATTGAATTATTGGATTATCTCAAATCTGAATTCGTGTAACCCCGAGTTATAGGTCGAATTACAGGTTCTGAAAAGTGTTACATACACATTTCAATTAATTATCCAAGTTTATTGATATTCTGAATCCCTAGAAATCTAACACCCTTAAAACAGATTTGCCGCCTAACAATAGTTTCCCAGGGTACAACGACCTAAGCAAATGTACTACCGAACTTCAACAACTTGTTTGAAGGTAAACTTCTGCTTCTTTGATGGTGGGTGAACCGGCCCGTAGGTGTAGATATTATGGAATAAACCAAGATCAGTTTACCATAATATCTCTTAGTGAAGTAGAAACATAAATACTTACTTGTGACAATGAAGCAGAAACAAAAATATTTACTTAGGATTGACAATTTTGTTGAAGATGATGCCATTTTTGATTCCTTTCTCTTCCCGTAATGGTGCCTTTGATGAGTATCTGATGGATGGATAATTTCACACGAAATGATGTTTATAAAGGGTATTAGGAAGTGCAAAGGATGATCCTTCGAGTTCCTAAACGTTTCTCCCTTAATGTCTATCTATTTATCATGGTTGCACCTTAAGGGTAAATTAAGGAACCACACAGATTTAGTCCCTTGAGTCATAGACGAATGTCATACCCATCATAGTATATATATTTAAGTCTAGGGACCTGGAATATCATTATGGCAAACGTTATTGTTGGTCCCAAAAGGGTCTACAAGAATA